GTTATATATTTATACATTTATTTCCAATAATGATAGGTTCTGTCCTCCATAGGTCAGACCGTTCTCAGGATAAATTCAAAATTCTTCTCTCAAAAAGCAAGCCAAGTTTGGAATATTTCATCAAAAATAACAAGTTTATCCTTAATTTTATATCTCGTGTTTTTTCCAGCTGCAGTGAAGTGAGTAGATACATTTTAATTATCTTTCAACTTGGGTGGATGCTCATGGCTTTCCGTTTGTGGACTGAAAAACAAACTCGATTTTGTTCATTGCTGTTTATCTCTGTTGCAGTCTTCACTTTGCACAACAATGTGGCTCACAGCTGAGAATAACAAGCTGAGGCACGAGACAAACTTGGGAGTAAAACTATTAAATCACTGCTGCCGAAGGGTGCAGTAGTAAACAGCAACGGTGAATTTAATAATTGGTCAGCAGGAGTCGAACCGTGTGACAATTTTAAACCGTGTGTGTGTGTGTGTTAGCATTTTTGGTGAATGAAATGCCAAACACTTTTATGGTTTCAAGATAAAAAAATGTGGGAAATGTTTTGTTGTTGTACAGCCTGTTTGACATAAGATTGTTAATCGTGTCACCTTGAACTTGAAGGAAATTGTGGTGGTTTGTTTTTCATATTTTACTGATTAMATTTGGGAGCTTATTTTATAAGAAAAAAACAACAACAGGATGACTTATTATGAAACTAGACTCTACTTGCACTCCTGAAGTTCCTTTGTGAAAACAAAGATTTATTTTTATGTCAATGTCTGGACTGTTATGCTTACTTTACCTTTTTTTTTTAACTTTTTTTTTTGTTACTTGGTTGATCACATCCATCTGTAGTTTTTGCATTCTGTAAAAGTGAACAAAACCTAAAAGACTGGTTTATACTTGTTTCTCAAGTTTCTAGCTCCCCTTGAATTTGTTTATCACCTTTTGTTAGACTGAATAATGGAAGCTGATGATCTGACCTGTGAAAGATAAGAACAGAGCAGAAAAGCAAYGATTAACCCTAAACATTTGTTCACTTTGAGTCTCGGAGTTGAAGAAAAAACAAGTAAAACTATTATTCTTACTGAAGAATGAACCCAATGAAATTATTGACTTCATTTTGGGTCTTCGAGACAATTATAAACAAATATGTTTTAGCTGTTTTTGATGTTTTCCCCATTATTTTTTTCCTTTCAAAAGTAAGTRCTGTTTTTGTTTTAACAAATAAATTTCAAAGATGTGCTACGAGGAAGTTTCAGAGAGGACAGAAGTGCTTTTATGGTTTGTAAAATRCACAAAATCTATTCAGGAAATGACAGCAGACAGCTGTTAACTGTATTTAAACACTGAAATAAAAATCGAGTGCAGAGGAAGTGGTGTTGACTGTTGCAACACTCAAACAAAACTTAATGTTTCATTTGARCCCTTGTCTGCAGTTTGGTACCAGACCTTTTGACTCATTGTACATCCCTGCAGGTGAGTCGAAATGGGGAATTTTGCAAGCCTTTTTAGAGGACTGTTTGGCAAGAAAGAGATGAGGATCCTGATGGTAGGACTAGACGCTGCTGGAAAGACCACTATCTTGTACAAACTTAAACTGGGAGAAATTGTTACCACCATCCCTACCATTGGTGAGTCACCTTCTTTACACAGTTGATAGCTCAATAAGCTGATGTATGGGTATTTGTTATGAAAATGTATTTGTTCCCCCTCTCTCTTTTCAGGGTTTAATGTTGAGACTGTAGAATTCAAGAACATCAGTTTCACAGTGTGGGATGTTGGTGGTCAGGACAAGATCAGACCCCTCTGGAGGCATTATTTCCAAAACACACAAGGTGAGAGATGTGACGTTTCCATTTAGTAGTTCAAGCAATGCCTGCTGTATCCTTTGTTTACAAAAAAAAAAGTTTGTCTCCATGATACAAACTGTGCCCTCTGTTTTCAGGCCTTATCTTTGTGGTGGACAGTAATGACAGAGAGCGAATTGCAGAAGCGAAAGAGGAGCTGATGCGAATGTTGGCCGAGGACGAGCTGAGGGACGCCGTGCTGCTTGTGTTTGCTAATAAACAGGTACATTTATGTTCCATAAAAGCACCTATGTTTATTATTTGATTTGGTTTATGATTTGGTTAAATGGTAAATGGTACCGACCTTATAGAGCGCTTTTCAAGTCCCCCCAGACCCCAAAGCGCTTTACACTAACAGACATTCACCCATTCACACTCACACTGATGATGGCAAACTACACTGTAGCCACAGCTGCCCTGGGGCACATTGACAGAGGTGGGGCTGCCATGCACCACCGGACCCTCTGACCACCATCAGTAGGCAAGGTGGGTGAAGTGTCTTGCCCAAGGACACAACGACTGAGACGGCTGGACGGGGAATCGAACCAGTGACCTTCCAGTTCCAGGACAGCTCCCCTAACCACTCCGCCACAGCTGCCCCTGGTATACAGCTGGTACATGTACAGATATGGACCATTTGGTTTGTACTATTCCCACAGTAATAATAATAAAAAAAAACCTCAACTGGTGTAACTAGGGATGGGTACCTTTTGACATTTGAATAGATTCGGTACTAATATCCAGTACCGGGGAATCGGTACTTAACGGTACCAATTTTCGGTACTTTGTGTGTGTGGTTGTTTTAATTAATAAACTTAATTTTTTTTATTTAACATATTTATTTCTCAATATATAAAATTTAACAAATATCAAGACAACATCCAACTCTTTGTATATAAATCAGACCTTTGCACCAATGGATTAACAGTGAAATTAATAGTACCATAATTAATCATTAAATCAATTAAGAAAAATGATCATAAAACCATGGTTAATAAGGCATTACTAAGAAAAAACATTAAAGCACATTTCAACTCTTTTTTCTTCACAGT